AAAATCTTTTTAAAAAGAGAGTCCTTGGAATGGGAAAATGAAGAAAAGGGAGTGCTGCACGATATGAGTGGGGGCAGCAGGTAGAGAGATCAACTGTAAGCAGTGATTCTCAAAAGTCCTGCTTACCAGAAACACATGGAAATTTATTAAAAATCATGTACTTCCAGTTGTATGGCCCATGGGAGCCAGCTACATGGGAGGCCAAGTAAGGAGGATCACAAGTTCAAGGTCAGCCTTAACAATTTAGCAAGACCCTGTCTCAAAATAAAATAAAAAGGACCAGGGGTGTAACTCAGTGGTAAAGCATTCCTGGGTTCAATCCTCAGTATCATAAAACAAAAACAAACAAACATAGTCCTGGTTTGACCCATCAAATCAGAATCTCTGGAGAAAGAATTCTGCAATATGCTTGACTCGTACTCCTGGAAATCCTGACATACAGTGAATCTAGAAACCACTGAATTAAATCCCCTGCCTTATTTTTACACAGTGCCTCGAGTTTCCAGGGCACTTTTGTTATGGTTCAGATATGAGATGACTGTCTCCCTAACACTTGAGACAATATAAAGAATCTTCAGATGTGAAAGGATTAGATTATGAGAGGCATAACCTAATCAGAGGATTAACCCACTGATAGGGATTAACTAGGTGTTAACAGTAAACCAGTAGTGTGACTGGAGGAAGTAGGTCACTGGGGGTGCGCCTTTGGGGTTTATATTTTGTCCTTGGTGAGCAGAGCTCTCTCTCTCTCTCTCTGCTTCTTGGTTGCATGTCCTGAGCTGCTTTTCTCCACCAAGCCCTTTCACCATGATATCCTGCCTCCCCTGGGGCCCAGAGTTATAGAGTCCTCTAATCATGGACTGAACCTCTGAAACTATGAGCCAAAATAAAAAAATTTTTTTTCCTCTCTAAATTGTCCACTTTTTTTTGCCACAGTGACACAAAAGCTGACAAAAACAACTTTCATACTTTGTGGGCACTGAGTCTGGAGGTCCATCATTTCATTTAGTGGCTAAGACATTAACACACTCCAGTGAATCAACCACTGGGGAGAGGTGTGGTGGCACCATTCACATACCAATTATGCCAGACTGTGAAGGAACCGGATCTTGGACAACAAAAGTGGAAATGGCATTTGTAAATTATTTATGAATTTCAGTAATTTGTTTTCAGTCATAAGACAGGCTTCCTCCAAAGGGGAAAAAAAAAAAAGTCAGAGGAACATGCGAACACAATAGCAGAGCTTACTGGGCCACCATGAACTTGGGCCTCTGACCTTTACGTCTGGCTGCCTCACATGACCCTGCTGCAAACTGGGGCTTGTTTGTGAATATTTTCTTTATATGGGCTTGGGTCATTCTGAGAGCAAACATGGCTTTCAAGGATTGGAGAACAGTTCCTTGTTAAAATGTTAACATTGTTTTCTCTCTCCAGAGGCACATTCTGCCTCATCCTTGCAGATTAGATTCCGGCTCCCTTTTCTTGGTACAAGCATCCATCACTCCCTTCTCCTTCGTCTTGTTGTTGCTCTTCTGTCACGTCTGGCCCTCACCCAAGTTCAGCCTGCTGCTGAGTGTGTGTTTGTCTGGCATTCCCAAACATCTCAAGAAGCCCCAGAGTATTTCCATTGCATTCGAATGGTTACAGGAGGAATTGATGATGTTGATTTATTCATTACAGTTATTTTTCAATCATCAGGTAGAGTAAGGCCAATCAATTTCAAAAAACCTGAATGAGTTTTGGGGATGCTCTGAAAAGTGCCACCTGTCTTCTCCTTATGCCTATATGGACTTTTTGTGAGAAATGGAACGCCAATCTTGTGGACCATTCTGAGGCTGTTAACACCACTGGAAGAGGTAACTTTGGCGCCCCCCTGCAGGGCTTCCCATCTTCTACTGGGAGGTCATAGAGCGGATTCCACAGCCAATTGAAATCCTTTGTGAATTATCCACTCTCTCCTCTCCTCCTGGGTCAACTACCAAGATCCAGGGGAAAGGTTCAAATCAGATTGCTTCAATTCAAATCTCAGAACTAACGGTGCCATTTTGGATAAAATTACAAATGTTTTTAAACCTCATTTTGTCACCTGTGCAATGTGGAAGATATTAGCACATACTTCACAGGGGAGTTGTGAATATTGGTTGTTATAACTCATGGCAAGCATTTGGCATAGTGCTGGTTCATTATAAGTATTCAAGATATATTAGTTATTAATGTTTTTCTAAGATTCGGTGATAAATATTCTGTTGTTAGCACTTTACTATCATTACTTATAAAGTCATTTTGGTAAAAATGCATTGAGTCAAGATTCTGATCAATGTGATAAGAGGAAACTAAATATATAATCAATGAATTGAATTAACCTTTTCCAGCCTTTTGATATTATTTAGTCCAGTATATTCCTTGTTTGTGCCTCTTTATAGCCCTTTGAACACCTGGACTGGCATGCTAGGTTGATCTTGCACAGAATGTCATTGTACCAAAACGTGACTAAATCAAATTATCTTGGTATCAGAATTGTCACATATCATCACAAGGAAATTTCAGAAGGTCTTCTAATTTTGCTTTTCTACTTTAAAAGAAAATGCCGCTCAATAAATATTTGATACAGAACAGCAAACATTCTGGTTCTCTGCATCCCAAGTCATTCAGTGAGAAAATATTCTTTGACTTCATTTTAAAGTAAAGAATGCGCATGATAAAAAATTAACAGAGGAAATAAAGATGTTAAGTGAAAAGAAAAAGTCTCATTATTATTAATGATGATAAAGTCTCCTCACCCCAGCAGCCCCCTCTTCACTTGTCAATCATAACCAAGACTGACAATTATTTATCTTTCCAAAAATTTGCAATGTGTATACTCGTATCTATTATGGTAGCTCTGTAGTTCACCTTGACCTCAGTTTGCCCCAAATCTGAGCATTTGGCTTCATCTTTGGCCTGTGTGAGACTTAATATCAACTTCAATATCAGTTCTGTCATTCTCATTCTTGTTCCTGATGATTTATCATCTAGGTCAGGGGGTCTGCAACTTACAATTCTCAGGCCAAATATGGCATGCCCTGATTTTTATAAATAAAGTTTTATTGCAACTAACCACTCCCATTCATAATGGCTGATTTTCTATTTGAGCCAGGGACAGGATATATGCAAGAGAAACCTGAAAAATCTAAAGTATTTAATTGGCCTTTTACAGAATAGGCTTCCCCATCTCTGATTAGGTACCATCATAGCTAATCAGCTTAACAACATTCATAATTGAAAAAATGCAAGTTTTTTTTTATTGTCCTGAAGATTAAATTCAGTGCTCCCTACCCCTGAGCTACATCCTCAGCCTTTTTTATTTTTTATTTTGAGACAGGGTCTCATTAAATTTCAGAGGCTGCACTCAAACTTGCAATCTTCCTGCCTCAGCCTCCTGAGTTCCTGGGATTACAGGCATGCGGCACCACATACACCTAAACAAGTCATTTTTTATTAATATCTGAACACATAATCACTTTTAAATATAGGAAGCATCCTAGATATAATTTGAAGATGAAATCTATGTTGAAATTCTTTCCATCAAAGTCTGTACTTATTACAAAAGAAAAATACTTGAATAATTAATATGGTTAAAGTTGTTAAATTTACAAACAAAAGCAGTTATTAAAAATTTTAAAACAAATAAATAATAGAAGAGCAGTTAATGCAATTATGAAGGCAAAGTTTTATAACTTTAGGAATGAATGCAGTCTTTTTTTATTTTGAGTCCACAAATATTTATTAAAAAATTAAGGACTGGGTAAACCCATATCAAAACAAGGAACACAAGTGGTAAATACATTTATGAAAAAAAATGTTCAACATCTTTAGCAACTAGGGAAATGCAAACCAAAACTACTCTAAGAGCTGGGTGTGGTGGCTCGTGTCTATAATCTCAGTGGCTCAGGAGGCTGAGGCAGGAGGATCATGACTTCAAAGCCAGCCTCAGCAACTTAGTGAAGTTGGGGATGTGGCTCAGTGATTGAGCACTCCTGGGTTCAATCCTCAGTACCAAAACAAAAACAACAACAAAACTACACTAAGATCTCACCTCACTCCAGTCAGAATAGCAGCCATCAAGAATACAACTGATAATAAATGCAGAGATGATTTGGGGGGGAAAGAACGCTTTTATACTGTTGGTGGGATTGTAAATTAGTACAGCCACTGTGGAAATCAGTATGAAGGCTCCACAAAAGGCTAGGAATGGAACCACCATATGAGCCAGGTATATCACTCTTCAGTATTTATCCTAAAGAATTAAAGTTAGTATACTATAGTGTTACATGCATACCCACATTTATAGCAGTACAATTCACAATAGCCAAAGTTCTAGGATGGTTATGAAACCAGCCTAGAACTCTGTCAACAGATGAATGGATGAAGAAGATATAGTATACATATACCATGGAGTTTTTTTTTTTTTTTTTTTTTGCCATAAAGAATGAAATTATGTCATTTTCAGGAAAATGGATAGAATGTGAGAGCATTATGTTAAATGAAATAAGGCAAACTCAAAAAGTCATGGGGTCATATGTTTTCTCTCATATGTGGAATCTAGAGGGAAAAACAAAGTGGAGAAGTGAGTGAAAATAGAAGGGAGACCAGCAGAGTAAAGGAAGTAGGAGAGAGGTGAGGGAGGAGAGGAGAGAAAGGGGAAGTACTGGGGAAATGAAATTGACCAAATTATATTGTTGTATTGTGTGCAAACATGAAAGTGTAACAAAGCATTATGTTTAAGTATAATGCACCAATAAAAAAATTAAGGGCTAGAGATGTAGCTCAATGATAAAGGGCTTGATGAGCATTCAGGAGGCTCAGGATTCAATCTCCAGTGTGAGCACACACACACACACACACACACATTAATATAAAGAATAGTTGAGATTAAACATCTGTAGAGTTGTTTGATGAAGTGAGTAAACAAAATATCCCTTAAAAATTTCCCTTAGTTAACTGGGCAAGGTGGTACGCACCTGTAATCCTAGTAACTCAGGAACCCAAAGCAGGAGGATTACAAGTTCAAGGCCAGCCTCAGCAATTGTAGGGAGACCCTGTCTCAAAATACAACAACAACAAAATGGGCCAGAATGTGGCTTAGTGCCCCCTGGGGTCAATCCCCAATTAAAAAAAAAGTTTATTTAATTATTTGTTATTTAATTTCAATCAAGCTATGATTATTTTTTTGAAGTCACATTTTTATTAGTTCCAATCAGTTATACATGACAGTAGAAAGCTCTTCAATTAAGCTATGATTATTTTAATAAAAAATTACAAAATTCTATTTGGGAACTTCTCACATCTAAAGATGAATTCAACACACACTATCATCTTTGTTATCACTGGAGATTTTCCCAAGAGGAGAAACTCTGAAATCGTATGTAACAATAATCATGATATATTCAGACGTGATCGATCTTACATAGAAATATCAAGAAAAGTGTGGTATCTTGAACACAGTTTGTTTTCACTAGTCTAACTTCAAAAGCGAACTCCATGTTGACAGTGGCACACGCCTGTGATCTCAACAACTAGGGAGGTCGAGGCAGGAGGATCACAATTCAAGGCCAGCCTGGGGAACTTAGACTCTCAGCAATTTAACAAAATACAGTCTTAAAATAAAAAAATAAAAAACAGGGCTGGAGGGCTGGGGATATATAGCTCAGTTGGTAGAGTGCTTGCCTCGAATGCACAAAGCCCTGGGTTTGATCCCCAGCACCACAAACAACAACAACAACACAACAACAACAAAATACCCCACAAAACAAAAAAACCAGGGCTGGAGATGTAACTCAGTGGTAGAGCACCCCTGGGTTTCATCCCCAGTACCCAAAGTAAGTAAAAAAATAAATAAGTGGACTCCATGGAAAAATCTCAAGGACACTCTGCTAATTGCAATAAGTATGTCACAGAAGGGTGAATACTGTATGATTCCATTTACATGAAGTACCTAGGGTCCTTCCAGATTGTTAGATATTGCTCCATGTAGCCAGGTGCAGTGGCACACTCCTGTAATCCCAGTGGCTCAGAAGGGGCTGGGGGAGAGGGAACTGGGGAGGTGTTGTTGAATGGGTCCAGAGTTTCAGTTTTCCCCCTTAAGTGGTTAGCCCATTAACCAGGTACTATTTATTGGGTAATCATGCTTGTCCTACAGATTGGTATCATTTTAAAATACGTCTTTATTTTCTAGACTAATTACCAGAAGGTCAATTAATTGTTGATATTTCATAATAAATATGACTACCTGATAGAACTAGGTAGTCAGTCTCCCTCAATTCTCTTATTTTAAAATATTTTCTGCCTATCTATTTCATAGCTATTTTCAGGTTATTCTTGCACATTTATTTTTCATGATTTTTTTTCAGTCAATGACAGACCACATATACAATGGCTGTCCCATAAGATAATAATGGAGCTGAAAATTTTCTATCACCTAATGATGTGGTAGCCATTCAACTTCACAGCATAGTACTCACATCTTTGTGGTGATGCTGGTGTGGACAAACCCACTGTACCGCCAGTCATATAAAAGTATAGTACATGTAATTATGTAGTCTGTAGTGCTTGATAATGTTAATAAACCACCCTGTTGCTGGTCGATGCATTTATTATACTTTTAATTGCCACGTTTAAGTGTACTCCTTCTACTCATAAAAAAAGTTTATTGTAAAGCAGTATGCTGCGTTATGCCCCTCATGCATCTCTGCTTACTGTGTCTCTAAGACTATATCGTTTTCTCTTGTTCTTGATTTAATCTCATGTATTTTGTTCATCATGGCCCCTAAGAATATAAAATCCACTGCTAATATTATCATTGGTGTGACTGACCTGGAAATGGAATCAAAACTGATGGAGAAGGTAGGAAATCAGTGCTGATTATTACTTGCCAATCAGACACGTCCTGTTCCACCATGGCTCTGATCTTGTAAACCAAGAACAAAATGATGATTGTTAAAGGCTCTGCTTCACAGAGGGCACCAAGACTAACAAAAATTCAAGAAGAGTCTGTATCAGACATGGAGAAACTTTTTTCTTTTTTCTTTTTTTGGTATCAGGGATTGAACCCAGGGGCGCTTAACCACTGAGCCACATCCTCAGTCCTTTTTTATACTTTATTTAGAGACAGGATCTTCCTGAATTGCTCAGGGCCTCGCCAAAATTGCTGAGGCTGGCTTTGAACTCCAGATCCTCCTGCCTTAGCCTTCTGAGCCACTGGGATTACAGGAGTGTGCCACTGCACCTGGCTACATGGAGCAACGTCTAACAATCTGGATTGAAGAGTAGACACAGAAGCATGTCCCTCTCCACCTGATCATCATGGCCAAAGCACAAAGTTTGTGGTGTTGAAAGAAAAGTCTGGACCTGCCAGGTGCAACGGTGGACACCTGCAATACCAGTAACTTGGGAGGCTGAGGCAGGAGGATCTCTTGTCCAAAACCAGCTTGAACAACTTAGTTAGACCCTGTCTCAAAATCAATAATAAAAAGGCTCAAGATGTAGCTCAGTGGTAGAGAGTCCCTGGATTCCCAATAAGTAACACACACACACACACACACACACACACACACTAGATTTGACTACAGACTGAATTTACTACTGCCTCTGGTTGGTTTAAATAATTATTTATTAGATAATGCAAAAAGGAGTGATGAGTCTGAGGGTGCTGATGTGAGGGCACCAGAAGGATTTTTCAGAACTCTAGATAAGCAGATGGTGGAGACAAATTACTTGCCAGGGCAAATCTTCAATATTCATTATTCTGGAAATGGATGCTTGAAAAGATTTTCATCATCAAGAGGCCAAGTCAATGCCAAGTTTCGAGGCCTTTAAGGACAGCACAGCAGTCTTGCTTGGGGCGATGCTGTAGGGTACAAACTGAAACCCTTCAAGATCTGGCACAGTGAGAACCCCAGGGTCTTCAACCATGTCAATAAGGGCACACTGCTACTGTGCAGTAGGAGCAATTAGAAGTCAGAGGTGACCCAGCTCTGCTTCCAGGATGCCACCCTGAGTTTCTATGGCAGCAAAATGGAGAAGAGTTATCTGTCGACTAATACATCTGTCAAGATCTTGGTTTTTGATGATAAAGCTCCTGCACATTCTTAACTGGTGATCCCAGTACCAAAGTGATGCTTCTCCTTCCAAACACCACCTCTTCAGAGGGGCATTGGGAGGGCCAGGGAGAGATACCGACAGGTGTAACGTATGAATTTATATACTTTAAAAGACCCAAGAATAGTCAATATTTCAGTTTGAGTCTGAAGGCCAGAAAAGACCAAGGACCCAACTCAAAGAAATCAGGTAGAAAGAGCGTCCTCTTATTCAGGTCTTCTGGACACTGGATGGGGCCCAGCTGTACCAGGAAAGGCAGTCTGTTGTGCTGATTCAAATGCTAATCAAATCCAGCAACAGCCTCCCAGAATATTGTTTCATACAATATCCAGACACATGAACGAACAGTTGGGTTGACACATAAAATTAACCATCGCACACTGTAATCTCAACTTTCTTTTGGCTTACCTTTGATAAGCATTTTATTGAATTTGTATACTTCAAATTTTTTTTCTAGAAGGCAAAGAATTCATCGTAAGAATTTCTCTTCAAGTTTTTTCTCTTTCTCTTTTTAATTTTTATTTATTTATTTATTTATTTTGATAGTACTGGGGATTGAACCCAGGGGCTTTATGACTGAACTACATCCCCAGCCCTTTTTAATTTTTATCTTGGAGACAGGGTCTCACTAAGTTAGTTAGGCCCTCAATAAATTTCTGAGGCTGGCCTCAAACTTGTGATCCTCCTGCCTCAGCCTCAGAGTCACTGGGATAACAGGCATGTGCCACCACGTTAAGTATGTTTTTTTCTGGATATATTTTTTATTCTTTTGTTCTTTTTTTTTTTCTGTCGGAGTATTTTTGCCTTTTCATACAGTTCTCTCCATCCCACCATTTAACATGTGGGGCTATCCGTAGTTTTCTTCCACCCCGCCCCCCACCTCCCAGATAAAGTGTGGATGAATTTTTATTTGTTATCCTTTTCACATGGCTCTCAGGCTTGTCTTCCTTTTAGAAACTCAATCTTGGGCGAGTCTTTTGTGTTCTTGCTTCTCTCCCCTTGTCTGAGGACAAGTCAAAGGGAACATTTATCAGTCAGGATTAGACTCTAACAGAAAAATCAAGTAATGGTGGTGTAAATTAGAAAGAAGTCTATTTCCTCTAATCAGAAGTCTGAGTCGACTCTCAGAGTTGATGTGATGCTCTGCAGTGTTAGGAGCTCAAGCTGAAGTTCAAGTTCAATATATGACCCAGGTGGTCACTCTATCCTCAGTTACCACATCTGCTTTATACCCAGGAAGAACGTGAATAAGAGGAAACAGGAATGCTTAGTTCATTAGGCACCTTTCTACAGGTTGGACATATCGTTTCAGTGCCCAGGACTTAAAACCTATATGGTAGCACCCGGCTACAAGGGTGGCTTAGAAATGTTTTTTTCCTGGTGGACTTTGTTCCCAATAGAAATGTGAGGTTGTTTTTTACTAAAGAAGAAGGGATAAGAGAAAGTGGGAGCACTATTTATTTGTACAAGGAAGAGGGATGTATTAGTTCATTTGCTGTTGCTATAACAAAATACTTTGTAAATGGAAGTGGTTTACTTAAGTGCACAGCTTTGGAGGCTTGAAATCTAAGATTAGACGGTTCTATTGGTTCAGCTTCTGGTGAGGACCCCCTTGGCTGTGTCACAATATGGCAGATGGCATCATGGCAGGAATATTTGTGAGAGGGAGAAATCATGTGGCAGGACAAGAACTGAGAGGGGGATTCAGGGACCAGCCTTGTTCCTCATAACAAGTGGTTCCTGTGAGGACTAACTCATTTCATGAGACCAGCATTAATCCCTTCTGAGGGCAATGTCCCCAGTGAACGAACCACTCTGGACTCTACCTTTTAAAGGTTCCAGCATCTCACAACATAATTGCACTAGAAAACAAGTCTCCAGTACATGGAACTCTTGGGAGGAAAACCACACCCAAATAGTAGTAAGGGGGTAATGGGAAGAG